GCTAGATCATCAGCACAGATCTTTCTCAGGTCTTCCCTATCGTTCTCTTTTAAGCCTCTCAGCCTTATAGCAAATTCCATGGACCTGAACTGCATCATTGTAATTTCATTTTCAAGTCTTTGCATTTTATTGTCAGCATCAAAGATTTTATAGTCAGTCTCCTTCATTTTGACATCCATTTCTGATCTAAGTTCCTCCACTTTATTATCAGTTTTAATAATTACTTCTGACAATCCAGTCACCACTGTCATTAATTTTTTGGTCACCTTGTCATATTTTTTCTTGCACCACCTCTTTGATTTCTTTAATCTCCTGCTTAATTTCCTGTTGTGACTTTTTAAATTTCTCATCCAAATTTTCATCTTGCCTCATCAAAGCCTGAGCAATAAAATCCTTTAAACTTTCAAGATCAATCTCTTTTTTCTGGCTTTGCTGGCTGGGAGGCTGCTGTTCAGGTTTGTGTGTGGGGGATCCCCCCCCCTGCCGCCTTCACATCCTGTTTAGTCTGCTTAGAAGCCATCCTGCCATGTAGTCTAGCTTTTTCAAAAAAGGAAATCCTTTTTCCCTTTCCTTCACCACAAAGTCCTCTGAAAAATTCCCCCAGGTTTAGTCAAATTAAAGATGGAATTGAAGCAAAATTAGGCTTGTCTTAAAAAAGATTCCCTTTTCTTTCACTTGTTACAGGCAATGCTACTTTGTCGCTAGTTGAAATAGCTATTCAAATCCACTTTCGCTTTCAGCTCTCATTAACGCTGAAGCCAGGCGCCATTTTCAGGAGACTTTCACTCTTTAGTTTTTAAAAGTTAGTCACAGGGCTAGTAAATACTTGCGGTTTCATGGTTCAAGTTCTTATTCCACCCTGTTTATTTGGATTCGCTTTGTTCTCAGTAAAAGAAGGTTGGTCCTGCCGCCTTGCTCTACAATGAGTAGACTCGTCCTCGCTGTCCGGAGTCTCGGCATGCTGAATAGGGAGCCATGCCTGTTTCCTCCCCAGAAGCAAAGGAGTGCTATCTGGGGGCTCACAGGGGCTCTACCTGCCTCGCACCGACTCTTTTCACGATTCCTTTTGGATTCGGAAATTTCTGAGCCGCTTCTCTTGTTCGAAGCGGCTCCAACAGGCAGCTGGGCTGGCGATCCGAAAAAAAGACCGTCTTTCGGCGACAGGAACCAAACCGGAAGTCCTGAGTTAAGAAGATCTTGACTGACAGAGGAACTGAATTTAATTCTAGTCAGTTCTCCAGCTGGTTGAGGGGTAAGGGCATAGTCCACTTACGCACTGCGCCTTACTCTAAGTTTCAAAATGGCGTCGCAGAACAGTGCAGCGACGTATTACAAACAATGATGCGGTGCGCCCTAGAGGATGCCACATTAAACTTCGCGTACTGGGTAGAAGCAGTTAGATACGTGAATTACACCCTGAACCGTGTGTGGTCTAGAGTGGTGCAGAAGACCCCATATGAGGTGCTATATGGCCATAAGCCTAGCTTGGCACACCTCCATGTTTTTGGAGTGATGGCCGATGTTCATGTCCCGAAGGAGCTCAGGAGAAAGGGAGACCGGATCTCATTAAACTGAGATTCGTTGGTTACAAGCAGGGCTCCAAGGCATTTAGGTTTGCCTACCCTAACGGAAAACTGATGATATCAAGGTCTGCCATCTTTCACGAAGGGGCCAACTGGAGTAAGATCCATGCCAATGAGATTCTTATTCGGAACCCTTCCCGTAGTTGTCGTAGGCAAATGGAGGATGTATCGGAGAACCTATCCGATGATAGGGATACATTTGGTTCTGGGAAGCGTGCATCCCAGGCACCCTTGAAAGGGGTATTGAAGCGTAAGATGGGGGTAGCCAGGAAGGATAGGCACCCAGCTTCTGAGAAGCATAGTGATAGTCACGAGGTAGATGACTCATCAGACAACTCTGATGTGAGTGATACTCCTAAAGGCAGACCAGTTAGGGCTACTAGAGGCAATAAGCCTAAGAGGTACGACGACTTTGTTACCTCAGTCGACCAGGTTTTGACCACCCCTCAGAGATATGAGGATGTGTTGGCCTTACCTGACCATGAACGACAGAAGTGGCTTGCCGCCATGAATATGGAATTAGACAGCCTGAAAAGGCTGGATGTATTCACGCCAACAAGATTGCCCGAAGACAAGAGGGTGATCAGCACCAGGTGGCTTTTCAAGCAAAAGCCCATTGAAGATGGGGGATTTGTCTATAAGGCGAGACTAGTGGCGCAGGGATTCTCGCAGAGATTCCCTGATGATTATGAGGACACCTTCTCGCCCACAGTGCACCCTGAGAGCGTGAGAACAGCTCTCACTATCGCTACCATGCGAGGCGAACATGTATACCAGTTCGACATTCAGACCGCATACCTGCACGCCCAGTTAGACAAAGAGCTGTACGTGAGGATTCCTCAGGGAGTAAGCCATCGGGAAGACGATGTGTGGTTGTTGAACAAGAGCCTATATGGCTTAAAACAATCTGGTAAGCGATGGTACGAGTGTCTCACTAAAAGCCTGAGAGAGATGGGCTTTTTACCATCGTCGGCTGACGAGTGTGTTTTTGTCAAGGAAGATCAGGGCATTAGGGAAACAGTACTGTTGTACGTTGATGACATCCTATATATTTGCAGATCAGAGAACAGGCATAAGAAGTTCTCTGAGGACCTAAGTAAGAATTTCGCCTTAAAACCATTAGGTCACATTAGCAAATTTTTAGGGGTGCAATTCGTAAAAACCGAGAAGGGGTTTCGGCTCTCTCAGGAAGATAAGATTCAGGAATTGCTTAAAAAGTGTAGCATGGTAGAGGCGAAGCCATGCAATACCCCTTTGGCAACAGACTTCCTTAAGAGTATGTACACTCAGAGCACGGAGTTTGAAGATAAGACCCTTTACAAGTCCATGATTGGGTCATTGTTGTACATTGCAAATTGGACTAGACCGGACATCAGTCTATGTGTAAATGTATTATCTAGACATTCTGAACATCCTACACAGTACCATTGGAGCAGAATCAAACGACTCCTGAGATATTTAAAAGGTACTGTGAAGTATTCATTGTTATTGGAACCAGAAGCAACTAGAGAATTAAGATTAAGTTGTTTTTTGGATGCCGATTGGGCAGGGGATGTTAGATCTAGAAAAAATACCTCAGGGTACATTGTATACCTAAATAGTAGCCCCGTGTATTGGTACTCTGGGAAGCAGAAGTTAATTGCAACTTCCACAGCGGAAGCTGAGTATGTCAGTTTGTCCAAAGCTTCCAATAACCTAGTTTGGTTCGATGATCTCTTGGTAATCTTATAGAGGCAGTCCATACATCCTATAAAAGTCTATGAGGACAATATGGCTGCCATTAACATATCGGAAGCCGATGCTGTAGGCCAGAGATCGCGCCATATTGATATTAAAATCAAACATGTGAGGCAATTGGTGAAAACAGGTTTCATTAAAACTGTGTATTGTGAAACCAAGGAACAGGTAGCGGACATGTTTATCAAACCGCTGCCCCGTGACCAACACCTCTATCTTCTGGGTAAAATGTTGATGGCTATGTGAATGTACTTACCATTGATGTGTACATGTACCCAATGTAGAATGTATGTTTGTTAACGAGTCAAATAGCTGCAGAGAAGGGGATTGTCACGAGTGTTTCCAGGATTGCTGTGGCTACTTGCCTACTCACAAACAGCATGGTTTTAATCAAGCCATCTCTTGTTGGCAATTACCTGCAAGCCTTCCCCACCCTAGTTAATTGCAGGTTAACTCCCCATATAAGCAAGGACCTTTTCGCTTGCTACTTGGGCCTAGACTCCGGTTTAGGCCTAAATGCACAGCTCCTGCAGGAAGCTATGTGCAAATGCCGCAGATGGGAGAAGAATGCAGATAAGGACTCCAGACGCTGTTGCAGAGAAACTCCCACGGATGCTTGCCTTTTGCTGTTTTGTAGCACGCAAGCTATCATCGGGACTGCTGCTGCTGGACCTTCTTCCTCCCACAAGCTTCAAGCAATGTTTGCTGTTTGAACTGTTTTTACTTCAGGTGACTTTTAGCTGTGAAGTTTGTGCTGCACCCCTTCTATTACCTCGATGATGTATCGACGCCGAAGCTGCTTATCTTCATGTTAGCTTTATTCTCTTGTGAACTGTTTCGGTATTGTGGAGAGGAATCTAGGGAGATAGCCTTGCTTCACATAACCAAGATAAGACTTTGTTTTTAATGTGCTTTCTTAAAGACATAGTGCTTTTTAAATGTTTTAAAGTAAATTATATTTTTACACAAGACGCCTCTGTCAGATTTATTTCAGTCTCAGTGTGTTTGCTCATGAGCTGGTTCACGGTCCGGGGTACCCCTCAACCCCATTCCCTAACAAGCAAGGAAATAGCCACAATAAAAAACTGAAAATTCTTCCAAAAAACGCTAGCCAGAAAGTCCATTAGAATGAGTTGAGGCAAAAAGAGTCTTTAAGGCTGGACTGAGTTAATGAACTGGAGTCACACCGGAAGAGGAGGTGTGTTTAAACAAATCTTAACTCAGTCTCTGGCCAATGACATGAGGACAACCCGTTCAATGGACTCTCTAAGCAGCACAATGGAGAATGGCTATTTCTTCCTGTTTGGACAATGAAATATTTTCACTTTCATAATAATAGTGAGACATAAGGGATCACTTCACATTTGGAAAAAAGTAGTTTTCACGTTCACATTAGCTTTCTTAGGAAATAAACTACAATGTACTTTCAATATATTTGCTATCTCATTTTTGCAAAAATAATAATGAGATTTAAAATAGCAAACTTTGGAAAATATATTATTTAAAAGGGGGCACTCACTTTAGCCACATATTAATAATCCAAATCCAGATAGCTGGACATAATTTCACATTAGAGATAAATAACTTTTCCACAAGCTTTTAAAGTGTTTATTCTATGTCAGCAATCTAGCCATGGCAACTTAGTTTCAATTTATAGAATGACAAATGAAACTGCTATACCTTTCATGTAGGTAGTTTACTCCAAGTAATAATTGTATAAACCATTTCACTATTTGACTTTCAGGAAATACTTTGCCACTTCTTTTGTACTCTTGAATTTTAAAGTCAAGGTCTTGGCCCTGAAACACAGAAACAAATGTACATTCTGATGAAAGCATTATACCTTAATTCATTAAAATTAGTGGAAAGGAATTTATTGAAAACAATCAGAGATCCTCCTATTGTTTTTACTAATAAATATTAATTTACTATTATATATCAGTTTTAATTCCATGAATGCTCTGTGCAATTCAGAAGCCTAGCATTAGAACCTAGATAACTTCTGAAGCTAATGCACTATATAGTCATGATATGCAAAGATCTGTGAGTTCAATTCCCAGGTAAAGGCTTGAACTCCATGGTGTTAACATCTGGCTACCCACAACTGATGAATGCCAATGATGAAACCAGTCATACAGTACATTCTTGTAAAAATAAGAAGGGCTTTGGAAAAACAGATTAATTTTTTGGCACAGAACAGATATCCATTCGTTTTTTCATTACTATTTGAATGATGTAACTATATGTAGAACTGCTGATTCTAATTTGAGCAAAGCAGAGTAACCCTATAATCAGCTATTGATGGAAGTATATTCTGAGGTAATCATAATATTCATAGACCTGCCCACTTGCTGCAGCCTCAGCATTAACTATAAGCAGAATTTTTATATTTTCTGTTCTACTGATTCTGGGGATTGGAGGAGAGAAATATATAAAGACTAAAGCTCAGAAGCAAACTTGTTTTCACTGGCAAAGCAGCTATTATGCTGATTCCTGTGGTTCCTCACTTACTCTCTCAGCAAACACACCACTATCTTTAACTAATTGAAGAGGAAGGCAGCTCAGTCATTACAGCAATTGCATTACAGTCAATTGACATTAACCTCATGCATTCAGGCTGTCAGCACATGAAATTCAATTCTAAGTTCCTAAATGTTCAGGAAAATACCTACTTTATTATATAAACTTTCTATAATTCTATTTGGTTACTTACATTCTTGAAGAACATAAAATACAAAATTAAGGGAACAAGAAGCTCCCATATAGATATGCTTAGTTTTATAGTGCACAATGTCTCAGCTAGCTCATTTTCTAAAGTTGCACTGGATTGTCTCATGAGATTCTCTTAGGAAATGAATCTCCACAGTAAGCATTTGAGCAAATTAAGAAGACTCCTGAAACAATATTGGGGTGGGGGAGGGAGTCCTTAAAACATTTTAAAGACATTTAAAAGACATTCAGCAGCTCTTGAGAAAAATAGTACAGAGGTCTTACCTCACAGTATTCAGTAATGATGCAAAAACTTCCTCCTTCAACAAAACTTGTATAGAATTTAACAATGGCTGGATGGTCTAGCCTGGACAACAATTGTGCTTCCAAATTAGCTTCAACTGTTTCATTGGGTTTAAGATTCCCCACACAGATTTCTTTCAAAACTTTCCTGTTGATAAAATCAGTAAATCATAAGATAGTGAAAGGATTAGAGCATGCAAAGAGTGTAATTATTTTTGTACAACCCAGCTATTGTTATTCTTGCTGAGCTGAGCTCCATTGTAACTTAAAATATACCACCTGCAGAGATAAAAAGCTCCAGGCTGAATGCCAAGCTTAGCCTTACGGTAACTTTGCTGTAACTTTAAAATATGTATTCTGTCTGTTGTAACCACTTGTTGTAGATAACAAGCCCTAACAAGCTCTGGGCTAAATGCCAGAAAATGTGTATCTTTTCCTCCTGTGTTTCATCTCCAAGTGCTGACAAATCATGAGCTTTGTATAAACTAGTGGATAAGAAATTATGTTTCTAAACACAATGAACTATGTGTAAACTATAAAAAGGAAAAGAAGTTTTAATTAGTGTGTGCCTTTTGTCTCTCTGCCTTGCTTTGTTTGAGGCAGGAGACTGAGGACACCCAGCTTTTCTTTTGATCATCAGTAAAGCTGAATTTCAGTAGCCTGTTCAGAGTCTCTTTGGAATTTATTTAGATTCTGAGCTGCAAACCTAACAATAGGATACTTGTACAATCTTTTTTCATTTATACAATCATATATTCCTTCAATTTTAAATAGAGAATATAAATTTCATGAGAGTCTTTTTAACACATTTCAATATTTTTGATGTTTTCTTTCTATTCAGTGCTATTCTGGACTTCATTTGTGATTTTTTTGGATGGAAAGTAACTGTATGACACCATGGCCAATAAAGATATCCTAATTCTACTGAAGAATTTCTAACATCCTGTGCCTTTAATTTAAAATTTCCCATTTAGGACTATGTTATTGGGGGCTTTTTTTTTTTTGCTTTTTTAAAAAAACTTCATATAAAATATTATAGTCACAATCTCTTAACTTCTATTTGAATCTTTTTTTAATTAGAAATTTTTAATTTAATCAAATATTCAAAATAAATAAGAACAAATACAGGTGGAACTCGAAAAATTAGAATATCGTGCAAAAGTTCATTTATTTCAGTAATGCAACTTAAAAGGTGAAACTAATATATGAGATAGACTCATTACATGCAAAGCGAGATAGTTCAAGCCTTGATTTGTCATACTTTTGATGATTATGGCTTACAGCTCATGAAAACCCCAAGTTCACAATCTCAGAAAATTAGAATATTGTGAAAAGGTTCCATATTCTAGGCTCAAAGTGTCCCACTCTAATCAGCTAATTAAGCCATAACACCTGCAAAGGGTTCCTGAGCCTTTAAATGGTCTCTCAGTCTGGTTCAGTAGGAATCACAATCATGGGAAAGACTGCTGACCAGTTGTGCAGAAAACCATCGACACCCTCCATAAGGAGGGAAAGCCTCAAAAGGTAATTGCAAAAGAAGTTGGATGTTCCCAAAGTGCTGTATCAAAGCACATTAATAGAAAGTTATGTGGAAGGGAAAAGTGTGGAAGAAAAAGGTGCACAAGCAGCAGAGGTGACCGCAGCCTGGAGAGGATTGTCAGGAAAAGGCCATTCAAAAGTGTTGGGAACTTTCACAAGGAGTGGACTGAGGCTGGAGTCAGTGCATCAAGAGCCATCACACACAGACGGATCCTGGACATGGGTTCAAATGTCGTATTCCTCTTGTCAAGCCGCTCCTGAACAACAAACAACGTCAGAAGCGTCTTACCTGGGCTAAAGAAAAAAATAACTGGTCTGTTGCTCAGTGATCCAAAGTCCTCTTTTCTGATGATAGCAACTTTTGCATCTCATTTGGAAACCAAGGACCCAGAGTCTGGAGGAAGAATGGAGAGGCACACACTGCAAGATGCTTGAAGTCCAGTGTGAAGTTTCCACAGTCAGTGTTGATTTGGGGAGCCATGAAAGAAAGATTAGGAACAATGATGAAATAAAGGGTTTGACAATCAGAAAAGAGATATATAAGACACAGGCATTTGCAGATGATGTGGTATTAATCATGGAAGAACCATCAGAATCAGGCACTAAAATTCTGGAAGAATTGGGCAAGTACGGGGAGGTAGCAGGCCTTAAATTAAATAAATCCAAAACTAAATTATTAACAAAAAATATGACGGAGGTAAGGAAAAAAGTACTGGAAGAATCAATGGAGATCCAAACCGCCAAGAAGGTAAAATACCTGGGGGTCTGGATTTCATCAAGGTGCTCGGCCCTCAGAGAGGATAATTATTTACCATTGATTAGAAATATTAAACAGGATCTGGAAAAGTGGGGAAGACTACAGATATCATTATTAGGCAGAATCGCGGCAATAAAAATGAGCATATTACCCAAGTTATTGTATCTATTCCGAACGGTCCCTGTTAAATTAGATAAAAAAAATTTTTTGGAGCTCAATAGCATCATCAGGAAATTTATTTGGGAGGGAAAGAAACCAAGGATAGCAATTAGGAATTTACAGGACAAGAAGGAAAGAGGGGGTTTCGGATTACCTAAATGGGAGTTATATCAAAAAGCTGCAAACCTAGTATGGCTGAAAGAATGGGCAACCCTGAGAAATAAAAGACTGTTAACTTTAGAAGGGTATGATCTCCAGAAGGGTTGGCATGCATATCTCTGGGATACTGGGAAGAAGATAAAAACTTATTTCCATAGACATAAAATAAGGGAGATATTGATACAAATATGGGGAGAGATGAGACAGAAGCACTATAGGAAAATTCCGAGATGGCTTTCCACCATGGAGGCTATAATATATCCAAATATATTAGAAATGGGTAAAACGGTCAGATACAATGAATTATTAGATGGGGGAGGGAACCTTAAAACAAGGGAAGAATTGATGGAACAAGGTATTTCTATAGACTGGTGGCCATATAACCAAATTAAATCTAGATATAAAAAAGATAAGGAGGAATTTGGCATTGAAACGAGCATAAATGGATTTGACAAGATATGGATGGGTATGGACGACAAAATTCTAGCTAAATTATATAATTACTTATTGGAGTACGATATGGCAGAGGAAGTAGTTAAAGAACCGATGTTAGCATGGGCCAAAAATATAGGACAGAATATAAATCTGAACGAATGGGATTCAATATGGAATAATAATCTTAAAATGACAAAGGCGACGGCTTACAAGGAAAACCAATACAAGCTGTTTTATAGATGGCATATGGCCCCAGCTAGGATAGCGAAGATCTACCCCAATTCGAGCCCTAAATGTTGGAAATGTGACCATCAGCAGGGTACTTTTTATCATTGCTGGTGGACATGTAATCAGGCACAAAAATTCTGGAGGATGATATGGATGTGGATTAGAGAAATAATAAAAGAAAATTTTGATTTCGACCCAAAAGCCTTTCTCCTGGGAATTTTGAAAACTGAATATGCAAAAAAGAAAAAGTATTTAATTATACATATTCTGACAGCCGCTAGAATTTCCTTTGCCCAGTATTGGAAAGAAAAACAAATACCACCTCAAAAACATGTTATTGGAAAAATATTGGAGTGCGCCGAAATGAACAAATTGACTTCAGAAATTAATGACAGAGAAGATTCGGAATTTTATAGCGTGTGGGACATGTGGTATGAATGGATGGGGAAAAGAAATAAAGAAGGAAATAGAGATTAAATATTAATTAATTAACAAAATCTATATGAATAGTATTATATTTAGTCTTAGAGAGTTGAGCACTATTATCTTTAAGTGTTTTGAAATTAAATCTAGCTTTAAGAAACAATATCAAATAAAAGACAAGTAATAATGCATGTAGATGTATATATGTATATAATTGCACCAATGAACCGAAAATGTACCGAATGTATCACTATATGTTATAATAAAAAACAATTAAAAAAAGAAAGAAAGAAAGAAAGTTATGTGGAAGGGAAAAGTGTGGAAGAAAAAGGTGCACAAGCAGCAGGGATGACGGCAGCCTGGAGAGGATTGTCAGGAAAAGGCCATTCAAAAGTGTTGGGGACTTTTACAAGGAGTGGACAGAGGCTGGAGCCAGTGCATCAAGAGCCATCACACACAGACAGATCCTGGACATGGGTTCAAATGTCGTATTCTTCGTCAAACCACTCCTGAACAACAAACGTCAGAAGCGTCTTACCTGGGCTAAAGAAAAAAAGAACTGTGGTCCAAAGTCCTCTTTTCTGATGAGAGCAACTTTTGCATCTCATTTGGAAAACAAGGACCCAGAGTCTGGAGGAAGAATGGAGAGGCACACACTGCAAGATGCTTGAAGTCCAGTGTGAAGTTTCCACAGTCTGTGTTGATTTGGGGAGCCATGTCATCTGCTGGTGTTGGTCCACTGTGGTTCATTAAGTCCAGGGTCAACGCAGCCGTCCACCAGGAGATTTTGGAGCACTTCATACTTCCTTCCACAGACGAGCTTTATGGGGATGCTGACTTTATTTTCCAGCAGGACTTGGCACCTGCCCACACTGCCAAAAGTACCAAAACCTGGTTCAATGACCATGGGATTACTCTGCTTGATTGGCCAGCAAACTCACCTGACCTGAACCCCATAGAGAATCTATGGGCCATTGCCAAGAGAAAGATGAGAGACATGAGACCAAACAATGCAGAAGAGCTGAAGGCCGCTATTGAAGCATCCTGGTCTCAGCAGTGCCACAGGCTGATAGCATCCATGCCACGCCGCATTGAGGCAGTAATTGATGCAAAAGGGGCCCAAACCAAATACTGAGTACATATGCATGCTTATACTTTTCAGAGGTCCGATATTGTTCTATGTACAATCCTTGTTTTATTGATTTCATGTAATATTCTAATTTTCTGAGATTGTGAATTTGGGGTTTTCATGAGCTGTAAGCCATAATCATCAAAATTATGACAATCAAGGCTTGAATTATCTCGCTTTGCATGTAATGAATCTATCTCATATATTAGTTTCACCTTTTAAGTTGCATTACTGAAATAAATGAACTTTTGCACGATATTCTAATTTTTCAAATTTCACCTGTATAGTAAATGCAAAATAAACCAAAAAGACATTGGGG